ATTGATAAAGATGTTGAAAAGCACCGGTCCAAGCACAGACCTTTGAAGGACACCACTGGCCACTTCTCACCAGGATGTCACAGATCCGTTCATAAGAACTCTCTGGGCCCTACCCTGCAGCCAGTTTTCCAGTCACTGAACCATTAAGCAGTTAAGCCCACAGTCTTCCAATTTTTCCACAAGGATATCATGGGATACTAGATCAAAAGCCTTTTAGAAGTCTAGGTATATAATGTTGACCTTCTCTCCCGTGTCCAGGTGGCGAGAGATCTGTTCGTAGAAGGAGATGAGATTGGTAAGACAAGACCTACCCGTGACTAAGCCATGCTGGCTGTCATTCAGAGTCTTACCCTCAACGAGCATATTGCACATAGATTATTTAATGAGTTTTTCCAGGATTTTCCCTGGCATAGAGGTTAGGCTAATTGGCCTATAGTTTCCCGGGTCCTCCCTCTTCCCCTTCTTGAAGATGGGCACAATGTTGGCCATCTTCCAATCCTCAGGGATCTCCCCTGTGTACCATGATTTTTGAAAGAGTTTTGCCAGGGGTTCTGCAATGACCTCAGCCAGCTCTATCAGCACTCTTGGATGAAGTCCATCTGGTCCTGCTGACTTATAAATGTTTAGCTTTTCTGCTTGGTTTTGCACCAGCTCAGCATCCACAGTGGGAAGGCTATCGTTCCCACCAGGCCCCCTATGATCCTTATCTAGCTTATCTTTTCCCTTGGTCTGGTGAAATACCAAAGCGAAGTGGGCATTCAGGAGTTCATTTTTTTCCAGAGTGCCTGTTACCAGCTGTCCTGAGGTGTTAAGCAGGGGCCCCATGCTTCCATTTGTTTTCCTTCTGCTCCCTACATACCTAAAGAAGGACTTCTTATTGTCCTTGACTCCCTTGGCTAACTTAAACTCAGTCACTGCCTTACCTTTCCTAATCATTTCCCTACAAGTGTAGATCACTGTTGTATAGTCCTCCTTGAGGACCATCCCTAGCTTCCACTGTGTGTATGCCTCTTTCTTCTTTTTCAAGAGGACTGCAATGTCCCTATTGAGCCAGGAGACCTTGCCAAATCTTCTGCTACCTTTACTCTTCATTGGAATGTTTCTTTTGTCCTTCGAGGATCGTGTCCTTGAGGAATGACCACTCTTCATGCACCCCATTTGCCTTCCATCCCTGGTCCCGCATCACCTCCCCTACTAATGCCCTGAGCCTGTTGAAGTCAGTATTTTTGAAGTCCAGGACTTCAGTTCTGCTAGCTGATTTGTCAACCTTGTGCCGGTCAGTGACCCTGATGAGCTCATGGTCACTGTCACCCAGGCTACCCTCAGTGTTCAAGCCACACACCAAATCATCTCCTTTGGCCAGCACCAAATCTAGGAGAGCAGTACCTCTGTTTGGCTCTTGCACTTCCTGGATCAGAAAGAGCTCCTCAATTACAGTTAAGAAGCTACATGATCAATGCGACCTAGCCAAGTATTCCTCCCAATCTATGTCTGGGTAATTGAAGTCTCCCAAGACAACCAAGTCCCTTGCACACGCCGCCTCTATCAGTTCTCAAGAGAACTCCAGATCCAGCTCCTGTTCTTGGTTCTATGACCTGTAGTAAATGCCCACAGTTAGGTCTCTCTCACTTCACCCCCTGCCCCCTCCCCACCAAAGCTTGACCTAGAGGATTTCAAGCTGCTTGTCTTTGGAGCCAATGCCAGCCTCCAGTGAGGTGTACTGCTCCCTCTCATAGAGCTACCTCTCTGCCTTTTCTCCCTGCTCAGTCCCTTCTGTGCTGGGTGTGGCCCTCTACAGCTATGCTCTAATCATGTGAGGTGTCCCACCAGGTCTCCGTGATCCCTACCAGGTCATATTGCCCACTTGAGAGCAGGAGGGCTAGCTTCTCCTGCTTGTTCCCCATGCTCCTGGCATTGGTGTACAGGCAGCTGAAGCCCCCAGCTGACACCCTCGATTTCCTGAGATGCTGTGGGAGAACCATTCATTAGCATTTTCAAAAACAGTTGTGTTACTGTCCTCCATGTGGCAGCTTTCCTGTGTGCCAGTCACCAAGCATGCTCCACTTGGAGTTTCCCTGTCCCCCAGCAAAGTCAATTTAAAGCCCTGTCTAGTAGTTCAGCCATCCTGGCTGAGAACAGGGACTTACCTCTCCACGTGAGGTGGATGCTGTCTCGTCCCAGGATGCTGTCTCGTCCTAGGAGTCCCTGAAGCATGTGCTGTGGTTGAAGAAACTGAAGCCCTTGCGGTAGCACCGTTGTCGGAGGCGTCTGTTTATTCTTCCGCACAGCCTGCCCTCTTGGGTCCATGGCCTGCAACAGGGAGCACAGAAGAAAAAATACTTGAGCCCCCAGTCCCTTGAGCCCAGCCCCCAGAGCCCTGTAGTCACTCATGATCCAGTCTGGATTACTCCTGGCCATGTTATTCGTGCCCGCATGGATGAGGAGCATGGGGTAGTAGTTGGAGGGATGGATGAGCTTGGGGATCCTCTTCACAATGTCCTGGATGTGGGCCCCAGGAAGGCAGCAGACCTCCTGGGTTAAGGGGCCCGGACAGCAGATAGGTCCCTCCATGCCCCTCAGAAGAGAGTCCCA